TTATTACTTTAGCATTGTGATATATAGCATATATAAATAATTATTATGTGATTTATCTAGTAATTGCGAATAGGCTTCACCTGTTAGTATATCTGACAAAATTTGAAAATGATATATATGATGACCAATATTTTACCTCGTTAATTCAAAAAATTAAAAGTCAACAATATTTGCATTGCCGCATTTACCTAGCTTTAGAGGCACATCAGGTGGACTATCAAGTGTTCTGATATTCAACAATCAATCTTGGATGTCAACACAGTACTTTAAGTTTAAACTGATAACAAGCGAAAGCATTAATGTAATAGCAACTACTTTTTTACAAGCAATGATGCCAGATGGTCGGCAAAGTATAAAATGTGATTTTATGATAGCTGCCACACGTCAATTACCATATAGATGATCAGGAGATAGAGAGATGACTGTGGTGATGAAAGTTGAACGTGTGGTTAACATTCTTTATATTGACAGTTTTAATTTCGCTAATGGTTTGATATTGTCTATATTTTAGTTACTGATTTGATTGATGAAACTTTAGCAAAAAGAGAAGCTAAAGCATTACAATACATTTATAGTGATCGCTTTGATATGTATATTGAAGATACTTCATGATATAGACATTCACTTGACGATCTTGTTGATGATCGAAACATTCAAGTAACCCACTTGTTAAGTGGCTGAGAGGTATCGAGTCTTTCAAATACTGGAACAGACTTTGCTATATCAAGAGTTGTAACTCAATATTACAATTGGGAAGGCATATATCTGGCGACTAGAATTTAAGACATGAAGAACTCGGAAATTATAATTAACGCCTTCATTGCAAAAATCATGAAACGAGATAAGTTTATCTGGGTTAACAAGTACACGGGACGAAGAAACAACGTTAAACGTAAAATTTATAAGAAAGTAAAGCGTCAAGTTTATACTGATATTCCTTCTGGCATAAACTATAATATATTTATTAATTACACTAAGGATAATAACTTTGTAGGAATATATACTGAAATATTAAAAAAAGACAGAGGAGAGATAATCATTCAGTTATGAAATTTAATAAAAGTTTTTAGTTTCTGGTAGTCTATAATTTAATCCTAATGGTTCTTCTATCAATCTTATATAAATATCAATAATTTATTTAGAAGAATTTTTAAAATAATTCCTCTTATATATGTTTCTTATACAAAATATTTGTATGATAATTTTTTATTTCACGGTTTCACAGTTGGAGACTGCTTTGAGTTTTCATTGCCCG